TGCATCTCCTTTTAAGGGAGCTCGTTAGCCAAGAACTCAAAAGTTAAGTGTGCTTGCACGAGAGTAGTCTTGGGATGGGTGACCCCCTGGGAAGTTTCTCAGGGCGCGCACGAGTGAGGACAAAGTGCGCGGAAAAGGCTAGTGGCGGTTTGTGAGAACAGTACTAGAGGTCAGAAGTAACTACCTCGGGGCCTACGGGGTCGGGGTGTTACAAATGGTATCAGAGCAACCCTGCGACAGTGTGCTGATCCGTTGGATATCGGGCGGGCACTTAGCAGGGGAAAAGATTCTGGGATATGATTGAGATTGGTTTATGGGCTCAATGAGGACGTTGCGTTCCTCAGTGGGGGTGATTGTAATACTTGAGATTTAATTTAAACGGATTAATAGTACTACTCATACCAACAAGGTGCATCTCCTTTTAAGGGAGCTCGTTAGCCAAGAACTCAAAAGTTAAGTGTGCTTGCACGAGAGTAGTATTGGGATGGGTGACCCCCTGGGAAGTTTCTCAGGGCGCGCACGAGTGAGGACAAAGTGCGCGGAAAAGGCTAGTGGCGGTTTGTGAGGACAGTACTAGAGGTCAGAAGTAACTACCTCGGGGCCTACGGGGCCGGGGTGTTACATGGATAAACTGGGACAGATGGCCCGCTTGTATCAACCTTTTGATGGCTGTCTTCAGCTGATGGCAGTCATCGGTTCTGTGCCCCTGATGCCGGTGGAAGCGACAGTAGGGGTAGTTTGGATTGATGGCATATACTTCTGAGGGTGCGCGGGAATCTCGCTCCATCAGGCCCCTCTCCTCAGCGAAATCAAGGATGACGCTGACGGGGTGCGTCAAAGCTGTCCGAGGGTGCTCCAGAAGAACAGGTTGTGCCCAAGCCCTTGGGTTCCCCTTGTAACCTCCCCCGGGCTTCGCTTGGCCGTGCCGGGGGCGATCACCGGAGGGGGCAGAATCCTTGGGTTGATTACGGGGAGCCCCCGGCCCCCGGTTGCCTTTGTCGTCTGGCCGAGGGCGTTGCTAATCCGGGACGTGATGGCATTTCTCCACCTCCTCGGCTTCGGCATACCGGTCCCCCCGCTGTAGGGCCCTTATGTAATCGCGGGGGGGTTCGATGATGAGGCTCCTCGAGAAGTTCCCGGGGGGAGTACCGTTTGGAGGAGGACCAGGAGGGTCCCGTCGTCAGCGCCATCAACTTTATCAGCCTCCGTTCTCCAGCGCTCCAAGAAGTCCCGAAGGGTCTCCTGCTTCCTCTGCCTCACTGTCAGCAAGTGGGAGAAGTGTTTTCTTGTGCGGCGCCTTCCTGCAAATTGCGTCAAGAATCGCTGGGCGAGTTCTTGCCATGAGTCAATGCAGTCCTCGGGCAATCGATTGAACCATTCGTAAGCCGGCCTCTCTAAGGTGGAGAGGAACCAGCGGCACAAATACTCATCTGATGCCCCCACCATCATCATGCTGTTTTGGTATCTGCTGTAGTGCTCCTGGGGTCAGTTTTTCCGTCGTAGGGCTTGATGAGCTGCCCTCGGTATTTTTCCGGGATCCGGGCCGCTAATACCCTTGGGGTAAATGGCATCCGGGTCCGGAGCTGTATGGTGGGTTCCCCGGAGCCCTTAGTTATCTTCCTCTGCATTTCCTCCATCTTGGCCAACATGGCCTCATACTTGAGGTTCGTATGAGGGGCAGAAGTGGTGGCGTGTGCTTTGGTGGCCTCCATCTCGTCAAGCCGGCGCTGGAGGACCGCAATGATTTCGTCACGGGGGTCCTTCGGGAGGGCCTCCGCCCCCTGCGAATGGATACGAGCCGAGTGGGCCTGGTTGATTTGGTGACGGGCGTCGTTGGCATGGAGAGGTGCCTTGCCTTTGTCCTGAGGGGGACGCCTTTCATTGGCCCTGGAGACGGATCCCCCACTTTCCTGGGGCCTCTGGAACGCCTTCCCCCTGAGGCGGTCTTGGACCCCTCGGCGGTCTTGCGCCCCTCCGAGTCTCTCGAGGGCGGAGGTCCGGAGTTGTTCTTTGTTTACGTTGTGGCGGTCCCAGGATTGGACTTCCTGGGAGGCCGTATCCTGGGCCACGACCCCCTCGACGTTCCCAAAAGTGTTTTTATTGTTTTACTACGTATAGTATTTTTATTGTTTTATACCTTATCGGTGTGAGACAAATACTTTAACAAAAATTGACTTTATAGATTGAATTGGTTGAAATTTATGAAATTAAAGTTAAAATAATCTAATTGGCTGAATCTACTGAATTGTGAATTTTTTATTTACAATATATCTTATGAATAAAACTAAGAAAAAATTACATGAAAAATCAACTGAAATGATCTTCTGCAACAACTTCATCCAATTCAACAAAATAAATAACTTCTACCTTATTTTTTTATTTAAAAATCCAGCACGTGAAATCTGAAATTACATGTTTATTAGGAAAACTGTCGATAAGCTGAAAATAAAGGTTATCAAACAGTAATTGATGGATAGTGTACCCGGGGGTAGCTTATCCGAGGGGTTATTACGGGGAATAACTAGAGAGAAGTCAGAGCAAGTAAGTAGAGAGAGAGAGTATATTAGAAATGTATTCAGCGTATTTGCTTCTTGGTTACAAATGGGGAAATAGGGTGCTATTTATAGTAGTAATAAATGCCAAATAGGGACACGTGTCAAGCATCGATTGGCCGAGGGGGTCACCTCAACTGGTTGGCGCTGGCAATCGCATGTGGCCGCATTTAATGCGGCTGTTGGATGTGACGTCGTACTTGGTACGGTGATCCAGGCGCATGTGGAGCGGATATTATGTCGGGAAAGGTGCCCTCGGCTGCAAGTGATTAGCCGAGGGCTTTGAGTACCGGGGATCTTCCTTAGTGCCGAGGGCTCTAGGTGCCGAGGGCTACTGTTTTTCGCCGTTTTCTCCCAGTAACTTTGTTTTCTTGATTTGACCATCTTGTGAGAATTGGAGCTTTCGGCCAGGGGGCCGAAGGCACCCCTAGTGCGCCATGTGGGTTGCTTAGTACTTGGGGTGCCGTGATTTGGACCTGCTGTGCTTCCTGGGCCTATTGGGCCTCCATTAGAATAGTAGGAGTCTATGGGCCGGGGGTTCCTGGGCCATATACTCCATCAGTAATATTTTGCCGCCGATAAGCTAAAAATAATTCTTTTGCTTTTTATTTAAAAAGAAGAATTCATTTCCTTTATATAACAAGACAGTTACAAGTATAATATTTTGAACTTTTACATAATGCGATGGATATATATAAATTAATTTTCACGATAAAAGCTCTAAACATCATCATTATTGGTAGATCAAATGTAGCGATATAAAAAAGAAAAAAAATTACGAATCATAAAGTGGTTAGAAAGTTGTCACTTCATTTGAGGTTTAATGCACCAAACCCCCTACGATATGGAAATTCGACGCATTAACCCCTCGTGATTTAAAAAATACGTCAAACCCCCCTTGTGTTTTAATTAATCATGCACAGAACCCCTTTTTATGAATAAATTCAATTGTCAAATAAAAAAAATGATTAACATTTTTTTATGATTTAGAGATTTTGACATATTTACTTGCATATTCAATCAGAATATTAGGAAAAGTGGTTTCCAAATTTTTAAATTTATAAAAGGGGTTCTATGCATGATTAATTAAAACATAAGGGGGTTTGACACACTTTTTAAATCACAGGGGGCTAATGCACCGAATTTCCGTATCACATGGGGGTTTGATGCATTAAACCCCTTAATTTGATGATAAAAAGTACGGAGTACTTATTTTCAATAAATATTATCTTAGCCTATTTAACTAAATTATAATAGAGATTTACAACGATCATCTCCCTAGAGGTTAGGGTTTGGGAAGTGTGCAGATTTGAGATTCTTTTTTCTTCGGCAAGAAGGGATTTGCTTCGACAGTTCCTCTTATGTTAGTTTTCTTTGCAGGTTCGCTCTTGTTTGGCTTCATGGTGTCAGGGGAGATCGACGCAAGGCACCGAGACGGAGTTTCGGACGAGATCGGCTGTCTTCGTCGGCGAAGCGGTAAGGCAGATGAAGGCATTTCAGGGTTTGGCAGTGAAGATGAAAATAGTTAGTGGCGGTTTTGCTATGAGTGCGGGACGAGGAGAGGTGGACGGTTTTCGTGTAGGCCAGATTTCGATCGACAATGGAGAATCAATTGGAGTGGTACGGATGGTACGGCCTCCTCCTGAACCACCGCCATGGGTTGAACGAAGTGTCAGGATCTGCTGAAAAGTTTTACTTTTAGTTATTATTTTTTTGTCATTTGGATTCTTGTTAACATCTTTCTTGTTACTTTGTTAGGTTTGCCAGTTTGTTTGGAAATTTAGCCTATTGTTATGTTGTTGGGAGTATATGTATGGGGTCGGGGGTGGATGTGTCAAGCTCGCTACATGGTTAGCGATTCGTGTTGCTCTTTTTCAGGGGTGACTGTCTCTAAGTCTTATCATAGTCTTACAGTCGTAGTTTTGAAGTTCAGTTGATGTCAGTTTTGATTTTCGTTTGATTGATGTAATGATTCTGAAACTCATGATATGATAAAGGCGAGTTTCCGTTAAAAAAACTAAATTATAATAGAATGAAATAGTGAACAATCAAATGCTTAAATTGCACATTTTGTGTTCAGCTCTAGTGTTTAAAAGACACGAGATGCACTTGTAATCAAATGCTACATGACTTGTTTCAAACTCAAAAAAACTTCTATTACCCCTAATCAAATTTTTACTAAAATAAAGAAACGACAAGAGAACTCACAAGACACGAAAAATTTATAGCCATACGGCTAAAATGAAAAAAAAAAAACGAAAGTTAAAATTAGAAATGTATTAATGACGGTGGGATAGTGGGGTGTAGAGTAAAATTTACTCCGTATTTATGTATTTTTATTTTTCTATAAAACAACATATAGACGTGGACCTTGCTGCCCTGATAATAACTACTGCAATTAATAGCGCAACGCCTATTTATATTGCCATTTTGTCTATCAAATGGACGCACAGAAATACCAGAAAACGTAACGAACTAATAATAATATCTCAAAAACGCCACACAGAAAGCAGATTCAAAGATGCATAAAATAGAGGAATGTGAGTATACCTGCCCCAGTTTCAACAGCTATTGTTCAGATAAATTACCAGAAATCGCAGTTAAAATCTCCGAAGAAGTTTGTAATCGTGTATGTAATAGTTGTGATGAAGAAGATGATGAGCGCGGTAGTGGAGACGAGTTTGAATTTTCTGCCGCGGAAGAGTTCTTCAACGGTCCCGCGTTTCCCGTTTTCAACCGCCGCGATTTTCCGATAAACGGTGAGCTTCTTCCCGATCATGGCCATCCGTACGAAGATGCCGATGAATCGATTTGCATCGCGTTGAACGAGTGGTCCATAGACGACGATAAGAAATATCATCGCGAGTCGCAGTCGTCGTCGTCATCGGAAGCCTGCGATGAGCTGGAGGGACCAAAATTAAAGGAAACGACGACGTCGCAGGGCAGTGGCTATAAGAAGATCAGTTCCACGGGATCTATAATGTCGTTTAGGCGATGGAAAATCCGAAATCTGTTGCGCCGGAGTAACAGTGAAAGGAAAGACGGTTTTGTACTTTTCAGTTCAAAAATTGGAGGGAAGTCTGAGGGAAAGGAACCAGGAAAAGCCTTATCCAAAGTCACCGGAAATACGAAGGCCAAAAGAAAAGTTGCAGGCGGAGGTAAGGCGATGCCGCCGTCGTGGATGGCCGCTCACGAGTTGTATTACATGCGGGCCAATGACAGAGCGAAAAGGAGATCGTATTTGCCGTTTAAGCGAGAACTGGTAGGCTTCTTCGCCAGCGTCAACCGCTTGGGTAGGATCTGAGGAGTCTCTTATTGCTTCTACTCTAAAAACGGGTTTTTAAAATATTTTAAGAGAAATATGTTTAATACTAAAAGTTGTACATTTAAAAAAAGCAAAATATACAGTAATATTGGGGTACACTGTCATGTTTTATTCCTTAAATGAGAGTTATTACTCTCATTTTTTATGTTTGACTGCATCAGATTTTAAACATGTCAGTATTTTTCAAATTTGAAAATAAATTACTATTTAAACATGTCAGTATATTGGTAACAATCTCATTTTGAAATTTCTCTTCTATACATATTGAGTAAAGTGATTAGTTTGAATGAAAGAAAAATCTTTATGAAAGATCCAAAGCCAAATGCCCATTGCCCACAACATTATGAGTTGGACTTGGGGTACACACTTTTGGTGTACACACTTTTTACACATGTCTGTGTAAGGTTTTTTTTTATGTCTGTACAGACATAACGTATCGTTATGTCTGTACAGACATAAAAAAAACCTTACACAGAGATGTGTAAAAAGTGTGTACACCAAAAGTGTGTACCTTTAGAATTTTTCCAACATTATAGAATAGGATAAAGTGATAAAGAGTTAGATTGATTTACCATGATGTAGAAATCGACCATATGTATCAAGCGAATTTCAACTCTGGCAATTGAGTATTTTGTGTTTATATTGTTACATTTCAAAAACATACGGAGTACATAATAAATTTTGGTGATGAGTATGTTAAATACTCCGTAGTTGCATTTGCCATATGGTGGGATAAGCCGTGCCGAAATATTAATCGAGAATAAGTTGATCTAAACATTCATTAGTGAGAGGTTATTAATTAGTTCTCCTTCAAATCAATGGTTCAATAAGATTCCATGTTAAAAGAGGAAACATCAACCATCAAAGAAATACGAAGTATATGCTCTAGTGCATGAATAGTACGATTCTTTAACCTACTTGTAGCTTAGTAAGATTAATTTAATTGTTACTCCGAGTGGTGCGTTTTTAGTAAAAAAATTAAAGAGGTCTATATCACTCCTTTATGAAGTTATATGAGATCTACATAACATTAATCATTCATTTTTTAAATGAAATCCTCCGCTTAAAAATTTAATAACTAATGTTATATCAGAATATTCATATGACTTCATAAGTGAGTTATATGATTAGGCTTGTTAATATGTCTGGTATGGGCTGGAACGTAGTGTTTAGATGCAAACTCCTTAAACTCTATATCATGTTCATCTGTCTTTGTGTCATACTTGATTGTGGTTATGATTAATATTATCTAGAGAAATGCTGATAAACGGTATTCAACACCTTAGGTTAAAGTTACTTTAATTAGTTACTTGTGGCCAAAATGGTTTATCTAGATGTGCAGGCTAATAACTGGAGTATGGACGATTATCATTCTAAGAATCCAAGGGCATTTAAATTATAAACGGCCAAACTAATTGCAATAATTTTTCAAAACATTAATAACAAATATGAAGGTATATTTCCAGTAAATAACCTCTTCCTTTTACAGTTGCCGCAGGCACTATAATTTGTCTTGGTTTGGCAACGCAAAGAACAGCCGTAATTTCTTTCTGGGGAGGTAGATGGGTTTTTTCTTCAAGGGAGAAATCGACAAATAAAGCAGAAAAAAGTAAATGGTCTTCTGTTTATTACTACGTATCAACTAAAACTATTGTGGCTCTAACAAATAAATTAAGATTACCACTGCTGAACTGAACTACCACCAATATAGTCAAAAAATTTGGGTAAAGTTGTATAGACAATAGGTAGATAAAACTACAAGTTTTTTTCCAGGGGTCGCAGTTCTCTTGGGATATCTTCAAAATTCCCAGATTTTATATCAGACTCAAAGACTGGCCTCTTTCCATTTTTCCAATGTATCCCTTCTGCCAGATGCTCCTTAGTAGGTGTCAGCATTACAAAGTTTGGATCAGCCCTCTGATAACTGTGTAGAGAGAAAAAAGTAAAAAACTGTAACATAGAAGTTTTTATAAATCCATAACTTTATTAACAATTCAGTATCGAGAGGATAAAAACTACCGACTTACGACCTAAAAGATTGACACTATCAACCCAAGACAAAAAAATCATCAACTCTGATATTATAATATACGTAGTATTTGATCCTTTATCAAATTAAATACTTGTATATGATTTGTGAGAGAACATTAATTGAAAATCAGTATAAAAATAAATAAAAGTAAAAAAGACTTGAAATTCATGATTTTGTTAGTCCTAGATAGTTTCAATGATTCAGCTCCTAAATTGATATGGAGTAGTTCTCATTTTTCAAATCCTGAATTGATAGATAACCTCTTTCATATCCTAAATTGGAAAAACTACAAAGAAGGAAAAAGAGTAAAATTAAAACAAAGAAGATAAAATAGAAAAACTAAACCAACCTTCCCTCTCTGATGCTGTCCACGCAAATGCCAAATCCAAAGGATGTTTTTCCTTCCATGTGATCTCTATTAGCTGCCAGTCAATAGAAGCAATTATTCAGACAGATTATTAATTTACATTTGAAATTGCAGTTCTTGTGATCTGTCTATTTACTCAAAACAATATGGAGACCTCATCCAGAACTCATTTGCACTTCCAAAACTGGTACTAACTGAAGATACTCCGATTCCCATCATCCCATGTTACACATACCTGATATGCTGAAAGTGAATGAAGGTTTCCACCATGATTTAAAAGCTAAAGCTGTTGATGATCTGAGAGGCCCGACTTTTCCCTGTAAAAATTAACTGTCAATCTTATATCCACATATTAAGACGTTAACAAGAAAAGTAAATGTGAACAGAGAGAGATGGGTTACCTTAAACAAGAAGTTTTTATTAGCTTGCCAAGATGCAGCAACTTGAAAGGTAGAATCTATGATACTATTTGTTGTTTTTTTATCATCAAACCTTGAGTAAAAATTTGAAACAGATTAGAACTCTGTTTATATTTACTAACGATTCTTTAACACTATATAAAAGTACCTTGTCTGCAACTCAAAGCCAAAGTCAATATAATTTGTTATTCCAACCACATCATCTTCTTCAAGAGGATTCTTCACCTGCAAAGCCACAAAAAAAGCATCTTAGTGGTGTACTACCTCTGTCCCAAATTGAGAGTAACAGATTAACATCAATTAGTCAACACAGTTCAGTTTTGATTTATAATTTTATATACCAATTTTTATCATATTTAAATTCAAACTTTTGAGATTAAATAAAAGTTTTAATGTAGTTTCTGAATATGTAAATTTTTAATTTCTAATTATAATTAGAATAATGTCAGGGATAGGTCAGAGGTTCACTTTATCATTGGTCACACATCAAAATCCGCAATGTTCCTTTGATTTGGGGCGAAGGGAGTATTAGAGAACCACTCTAAGAGTTCAAAACTAGAAGTATGACAAATTAACTGCTTTAGCTCATGTGAATTCAGATATTTGGCATCACCTGATCTCCATAAAAGTTTGATTTGAAGCCTACATGGAAGAATTCGGTCATGGGAAATGAGGTTTCCAGTATTTTTTATATCACAAACTACATGTTTTTACACAGCAGTGCAGCACCTATCATTCTTTCAATATATGTGCACTATGTCTCTAAATATTAATATACTATCAACTTCTGGATGCAAGTTAAGTGCCTGTATATTCAGAGACATTGAGAATGACCACTTACCCGTCTTTGAACAACCACATGTTGGTAAAACGAAGCAATAAACTGCAAAGCAACTTTTATGGTTATGAAATGTGATAAAGTGATGAAACAGGTTACAAATAAGGGAGTTTATAAAATGATAATGTTTGAAAGATAAAAACCTGTGAATTTCTAGAAAGCTCCAGGCCAAAATTGAATGATGGGCTCAAAGGACTTCCGGATCCAATGCCATAGCCAACTGCACAGCTCCAATTTGCTAAGTCCTTATACTTTGGCACATCTTTGCTTCCAACTACTTTAAACATGAAATAGAAAAGAGAGCACATTATCAATACTCATCATACATTGCAGATTTATGCACCCTTTACCAAAGATGAATTTCAATATAATTTGAGTTGGTACATTGTGGTTCATACTGTACGCCTGCAGTTAACCTTCCCACCTTGCTCACCAACCATGCAGTTTTCGGAGCATCAATTCCAACTACAAATAAGTAAAAACGGCTTAAAAAGTATTAGCTTGATTCTGCTATTTACAGATTAAATTAACATGAAGCTAAAGAAGGTATTGTGAAAGATTTTTGGTTTTTGTTTTGAATAAATGCATATAGGAAGTTTTTGTACAAGAGAACGGCAATATCATGGCTCCAAAGGACAGGTTTGAAGAGCCATATCTCAAACCCATAACCCCATTATCTTCAGGAGACACTCTGCAAAAACTACCATGTAAAAGTGAGATAGAAACTAGTGGAGATTCATTCTAATTTTATTTGTGTTTTGGTTTTCCGAACAAACCTTCTCTTTAGCAGTACTGGAAAAATTCCAAAAGCACCAACCCCATATTTGGTATTGAATGAAGATGATCTCAGGAGTAGAACTCTACGCATGCAACCATGACAATAGAAGGACAGAAAATGATCAATATCTCTTATTGAATCCCTTATACAAACTACACACAAACAAAAGTTGAAATTCTTAGAAAACTTATATGCTTACGGTTCAGAATTTGATACAGAAAGATCCATAAATGTATTAGGATCATTAACGTCCCTGGAATACATTTAAAATTATAACAAAAATTAATAATAAAAAGCATATGATCAACTACACCATCTAATCAATGTAACAATATTAACTTTCAGGAGTTATATAATAATGTAATTAATACCTTTGCCACCTAAATTGTGCATTCCCTACAAGTTCCTCACCCGCATTGCGTTTGTTACCAAGTGGACGTGCAATCTGAAATTGCTAAGGATACACTTAATGGGTCAGGACTCTGACCCTACATCAGTTTTCTATTGCAAGTTTCTGGTAAAGTGAATATTGCCAATTCGGAAGCATAACCATTACACAATTTGTTTTGTAGGATACAGTAGCAATCAAATCAACATGAGGATCATCAATAGGCCTGAGCATAATTCTGGTGCTAACGTCCCTAGCCTCGTCAAAGTAGTCCTCAAAGAGGCATCTCAACGCCAGCTTACCAAATAACAAGTTGTACGATGATTCCAGCATCCTGCATTACATCCCTAACGGTCCTCAATTAAATTTTCAGCCAGAGAAACTGAAGTATTAAGCACGACAGCAAATAAAGTGTCGAAGTTTAGAAAGTATGTCTACGATAACTTAAAAAAATTATCACACTATGTAAAGTTGGAGAACCTTGTGCGAGCACCGAGAGGAGGATAGTCGAAGAGTGGAGGAACCAACACCACCGGTGGCGGCGGTTCTCGGAAGATCGAAAAGT